TCTATCTGCACTGTTTTCTTGTGTATTCCATAAAATTTCAAATATTTACATGTTCACATGGGGGCTGCCATATTGGGCTTGCGTGAGGCAGCAGTTTGTTAAAAGGATAAATTCATACATTAGCTTTGCAGAAACTTGAGATTGATTATATATGTAGGCATGTGCAAGGCAGGAACTTATGACCTCGTATTGAGCTTTGTGGGAAATTTAAAATAGTGTTTTCATTTAAAGGCAAGGTACAAAAGCAGTTAGCACAGAAATCTGATGCTGTGGCAGTAACTGTGGATCTTCATACTTTGGTGGTAAAACTCCTCCATCACTGTTGCACACCTAGATGAGTCGTACTACAGTTAGTATCATTCAAGATGAACTAAGGATTTCAGCTAAGATGTGTCGGGTTCCAAATGTAAAAGGAAAATAACAAGACAATAACATGCAAAATGTCAAGAACTGCTATTTGCTACAGATGCCAGATTCCAAACAAGTGCTGACTTCAAAACACTAACCTCTAAACACCAATCACAAAGAAGTTGGAGACTTTAACATTATGCATAATAATAATAAAAAAGAACTAACGATTTCAGCTAAGATGTGTTGGATTCCTAATATAAAAGGAAAACAAGACATTAACATGCAAAATGTCAAGTACTGCTATTTGCTACAGACGCCGGATGCCAAACAAATGCTGACTGCAAAACACCAACCTCTAAACACCATTCACAAAAAAGTTGGAGACTATAACATTATGCATAATAAAAATAATAAAAAAGAACTAACAATTTTCAGATAAGATGCGTTGGATTCCAAATGTAAAAGGAAAACAAGACATTAACATGCAAAATGTCAAGAACTGCTATTTGCTGCAAACGCCTGATGCCAAACAAGTGCTGACTGCAAAACACTAACCTCTAAACACCAGTCACAAAAAAGTTGGAGACTATAACATTATGCATGATAATATAATAAAAAAGAACTAACAATTTAAGCTAAGATGCGTTGGATTCCTTATATAAAAGGAAAACAAGACATTAACATGCAAAATGTCAAGTACTGCTATTTGCTACAAACGCCTGATGCCAAACAAGTGCTGACTGCAAAACACTAACCTCTAAACACCAGTCACAAAAAAGTTGGAGACTATAACATTATGCATAATAATAATAAAAAAAGAAGTAACGATTTCAGCTAAGATGCGTTGGATTCCAAATGTAAAAGGTAAACAAGTCATTAACATGTAAAAGGTAAACAAGACATTAACATGCAAAATGTCAAGAACTGCTATTTGCTACAGACGCCTGATGCCAAACAAATGCTGACTGCAAAACACCAACCTCTAAACACAATTCACAAAAAAGTTGGAGACTATAACATTATGCATTATAATAAATTAAAAAGAATGATTTCAGCTAAGATGCGTTGATTCCTTATATAAAAGGAAAACAAGACATTAACATGCAAAATGTCAAGTACTGCTATTTGCTACAGATGCTGGATGCCAAACAAGTGGTGACTGCAAAACACCAACCTAAACACCATTCACCAACCTAAACACCATTCACAAAAAAAGATGGAGACTATAACAATATGCATAATAATAATGAAAGAACTTTTTTAAATGGTTAAAGAAACAGTAAATGAAACAACTATGACCACAACTAGACAGAATAGATTTAGGGCAAGTATAAAATGTCCAAGGGATGGTCTTACCTTGTCGAAATCTGAGTTCCAGAAAATGGCACTATTCTAGAACAATTGGAACTATTCTAGAACAGTTCCATATAGATACCAAAATGTGTCATAAGTGGTGTTCCATAAAAATTCAAACTTTTTAGTTCTAGAATGGTTCCAATAAAAATCTAAGTAAAGTATGGAACCTGTTTGGAATCATTTTGTTCTAAAGGAGTAAGATAATAATTCTAGAACATTTATGGAGTTACAGATGAATATTCTATGTTTCAACATTTTCTATCTAGTTCCTTAAAAGTTCCAAAATAATTCTTTCAATTTATTTTAACTTGTATGGAATGATTACATGTTTCAATCAATCCCAATATTCTTCCACATCAATTCAGTTTATTTAAGTGATATATCATGGAACAATTATGGAATTACCCACAATAAGAATAATTCAACATAATTCAACATTGGTTCTAGAACAAAACCCGTATTTATGTAGAACTTTTGATATTTTTCTAAGCTTTAATGTTTAACTGACCTTTTATGGAATTCAAATTTTATGTTTACTTAACAAAAATGGAAAAACATATATTCAATCTTAGTCATAAAAAATCCACATTGGTTCTAGAACAAATAAAGAATCCATGAAGAACTGATGATCTATTTCTTGTCTTATTGTTACTGAACTTTTACGGAATCCCATTAGAACCAAATTATTAATATTTTACCTTTAACAAATGGTGAGAACATTGAACAAAAATGGAACTATATATGAAATCCAACCAATAAAAAATCAACATTGGTTTTCGAGCAAATAAAGAATTCATGAAGAACTGCGGTGATCTATTAAGTTGTATTGTTACGGAACTTTTATGGAATTCAAAATTTATATTTTACTTTAAAATTATGAGAACAGAGTTGGGGTATTAGTTATATCATAATCATCATCATCATCAGACAATTCATCACTAAAATCACTCTCATCATCTGTTGTTGAGAATTCTGAAGCAGTGTCAAATTCATCACTGGAATCGTCTTCAGAATGATCATCATCTGTACTCTCAGCAACAGTATTGTAATCATGATTTTCTCTCATACCTTCCATTATAGAAGCACCTAAAATATTTATGGATTATGTCAATCACATGGAAACACATTCACCAGATTGATAAATGCATGAGGAAAAATTGAGGTCTGATATTATGTTATCTAATTGGATAGTTCAGTTTTTAACAGGAATTCATAGAAACACCCTATTATAGCCCATTTTTCACAAATCCCTGGGGATTTAGTCATTTGAGACATCTCCTTCAGGATAATTCGGTAAACACTGTGCATTTATTAGAGAGAATGGCACTGAACCCACGAACCCTCGCTCAATATAAGTGCAATAGTATAAATCAACTTGACCTCACTCAGCTATGGAACATTACACATCATGCCCATGGTGGACAGACCCATTTTTTCTCTCAACTTGTACCATTTTGCTTGTGCAATATAGACATACCTGGATTTTGCTGGGGCTCAACAAATGTTGTTCCATCTTTCCTGAATACACTGAACACATGACTTTCCCATTCAGAGTCATCAATAGTTTCAGTAGATTCAACAGAAACATTATTTTCACTATTTAAGCCCTCTGCATCCTCAGCTAGAAATGTAAGAACAAATGTTTATTAAAGTTCATGTAAATTGGGAAAATGATTTCATTTCTTTATCAAAGCACTTTATGTTTAAAGATATTGGATTATTTGATAGAATTAGTTAAATTATTTGCAATAGCCACAATCTTACAATATCAATTCAATACCAGATCATTGAACCAGAACAATTGGGTTAAATTTGGGATAATATATTCTGAATATCAGATCAATTTGAGTGATATCATTTTTTATCTATCAATTGATATCAACATGAGTGAGCAAAGTAAGCGATCACTTAGTTAGTGAAAAAATTTTCTGAATTTTCTAACTGAATTTTCTCATTTTTTATACATTTTATCAAAAAAATCTTCTCTACAGTCTTTTCTAAATACATTAGTGCACTCCTTGTGCAAAACTCAAAGATGCAGACAATGTTGGGAAGGCGTGATCGATATTTGAAAAATAACATGTGGCTCTATGGAGGATTGCAACAAAATTTCTATCATACAGAGTTACCTTAACCTTATTCGAGAAACCCTAAAGTTTGACATTCAAAGTTCTAATTGCATTACAGTTTCCAATCAACCATTAACATAAATTGATTCGTCCAATCATAACCATCGATCAGTGGCAGCGTTGCCAATGCATCTGAATCTGTCATAAGAGAAAGACATGCACCTGGAATGACTATGTTTCCCCTCTAATAGTAATAGCGCAAAGATGATTGGAAGTCGTTACATGGAGCGCTAAGAAAGTATTTCACCTATTATCGCCCAACAAAAAAATAAAGTAGAGCTTACTTAGCTATAGTATTGACAGAGAATTACATACAGACTGTTATAATGATCAAACCCTTGAACTAGATGACTCTCTCCTTCGGCTCTAAGTGTCTGGAGCCTAAAACAATTTTTGGAGGCTTGTCGTCTTGACCGGAAGTCGGTTTTAAAAAATTCAGGTTCATATTTAAATGACAAATAATGAAATAAATTTGTCTACTTACATGCCCCGTGTATATCTACAAGATGCAACTGGACATTTCGTTTGGATGAAAGCTCTTTTTGACAGATTAGGCACACAAATTTACCACTTTCCTTACGTTGAAAGCAGTCCGATTTTGCACGCCCATCCATTTTTGTGTTGGCGATAAATCGTAGTCTGGAGATGTTACATGTATTCGTTCAGTGCTTGATGTATTAATCTGAACAGTACACTATGTTTTGATTATTCCCCGGGAATATTACCTCGGTGAGTTATCAGACTACGATATGCCACCGACTTAATTCAGTTATCAATACGCACGACTTCTAAAGTAAAAGAAACATTTTCGTTCAATATACTTCTGGAAATCTAATTTAAATTCAGTTATCGATGATTACACAATAATTAATACATTATTTACACTGCAATTGATTGAAAAAGTATTGAGACAAGGGATATTTGTGTTGGAATTACATTCTTATGGGCAATATTTTTATGGCGTGAACTCTTGGCGGGAAGTTTAATAAGGGGTGGTAACATTTAAATTTTAACAATTTTTCTTTTCAACAGTCAACAATATTATTTGTTCATGTTGTCATGTATATATTAGTGATATTAAAAACATGCATTGCCTTTCGATGCGACTTATTGCGAATATTTACATTAATATATCAATGAAACATCGCAAAAGTAGTGCTATCACCCCCGATAATCAATATGGACGAGTTCAATACTGACGTTGTTCAACACAGACACAAGTTTGAAACGCGCCATTTTCAATTTCGTAGCAGCAGGTTTACAGGTTTATGCGAATTTGATTTAAATTTTGAATCATGTTTTACATTATTCTGTGGAAAGAGACTAGAGAATTATCAATCATCAGTCATATAAGTTTAGTTAGAATATGCGACGAAAGCATTAGGAGGGAAGGGCCCTTAAGCTTACAAGAAGGAACAATACTCAATCTGAAACATGATAAAAAACTGTTCCAAGCAGTCGTCATCAAAATCGTGAAAAGTAAGTTAATTCTGAATTTCTTGTCTCAACTCACTGTGTTCAATATGGGGTGTGTTATTGTGAAAAATCACTAGTTTCACACGATATATAGTGTTATCTGAGGTTGTCTGTAACTAGACGTCTAACTGAAAGCAGAGTCACTCATCTCCAAATGCAGATATGTCTCTGCTGAAATTGAACTGTTGTGTCACTGTTCTGGATCTGTAACGGAATAGTTTTAAAGTTGATGGAACTGATATTGAATTCACAATTTCCAGAGATTCATTCCACAAAATTTGAACTGAAAGCATGTCTTTAGTTGCAACATGTGCTTTTTGTTAGACTAACTTTAATTTTGATCAATGTATGTTTTATTCTATTCATAATACTAATAGGCCTAATGATGTATATTTTTCTTATATTTCAGAAAAGAAAGATGCAGAAGACATTTGCAATGAGAAACTCAGAAAGAGTGCTCTAGCAACCTATATGACAGATACAGACAGGCAAGACAGCACAGACACGGGTGCAGACACCACAGATGATGATGATGATCGCCGTGAGACGCCCAAGAAATCCACAGATGATGATCATCATGAAGATCCTGAGACACCCCAGCACTCCAAGGAGACCAAAAAATCCAGCACTAAGGATAGGTATGGTATTATCTATAACATTAAATTTTTTATTCCACTTATTAGTCTATGTTCTTTAAACTACTAGTATTTCAATCCTTCCCCCTAAAAATAACATACTTATTAGTACCCAATTTCACCCGACTGTTTATTTATTTCCATTTTTATTTTATTTTATCAAAGAAAATAGCTCCAATATTTGATATTACTAGTGATGACGAATTCACTAATACTTTTTATGATTTGGGGATCAAAATTGGCATAATTCATTAGGATTTTGATGTGATAAATAATGAAAAGGTAATGTGAATTTTCATGAGCTAAAAAACAAGGGGAGGGGGTATAACGGATTCATAAACTTTATTAAAGAGTACTTAGCAAATAATTGTTTTTTTATTCCAGGGTAGCAGTGCTTGAAAAGTGTTACCAATCACTTAAAAGAAAACTAAACGCTTTGGAAGACAGGTTATTGGATATGAAAGAAAAACCTCGAGAACAAAATGATGCTGAATCCAACTTGATAGAAAAGGTGAAACACCTTCAATCTACCGATGTTCAAGACGTAATCGTAACATTGAACATTTTAACATTAAAATTTAAGTGGTTAAAGTAATAAAGATGCTTTAAAGTTCTATTTGATTACTACTAGTAATAAAGTTATCACTTTCTTTGCAATACTCTTGTTTTGTATTAAATTAGCTCAAAAATTGCACAAATATGAAAATTAACTTCTACATTCTAATTCCATATTAGTTCCAATGCTAAGGAAAAAATTAATGATAGAACTGTTATAGAATCGTTTTTATTTTGTGTATTTCTGAATTTGAAAACATTGAGTTAAAGAACAATTCTAGAATTTAGATTAAAGAAACGTGTCATTACAGTTCTATAGCTAAACCATAAAAGGGTTCTTTAAATATTCCACCTGAATTCTAATAGCCCTAAAAGAAAAATATTAGAATCATTCTTTCATGTTTTCCAATTTGTTGTAAATAGAGCTAAAGAACAGTTCTAGAATTAAAATGAAAGAAATATGTCATTACAGTTCTATAACTAAAGCTAAAATTGTTCTTCTGATATTCCACTTGAGTTCAAATGCCCATAAAAGGGAATTATAGAACTATTACAGAATTATTCTTTCATTTTGTCCAGTTTGTTGTTAATATGGCTAAAGAACAATTCTAAAACCCAAATGACAGATTAATGACATTACAGTTCTATAACAGAAACAATTAAATGTTCTTTATATATTCTACCAGAATTCCAATGCTCATAGGTTAAAATTACAGAACTATTACAGAATAAGTATTTCATTTTGTCCAATCTGTTGTAAATAGGGCTAAAGAACAGTTCTAGAATATCAAAATCAGTTGGATGAACACTTATGGAACTGTTCAGTTTTCCATTCTGTAACATTTCAAGAACAGTTCTTGAACAATTCCATTCTTTTTCACCAAGGTAATTTACAGACTACTGGCACACTATTCAAAAGTACCATAAGTATAGGTCTACATTGAAAGAGTTTTATCAAATCAGGTGCATTTTGAAAGAGTACTAACAAATCAGGTGTATTTTGACAGAGTACTATCAAATCAGGTGTACTTTGACAGAGTACTATCAAATCAGGTCTACTTTGACAGGGTACAATCAAATCAGGTGTACTTTGACAGAGTAATATCAAACCAGGTCTACTTTGACAGATTTATTTATGAGAGCGTATTCCACACTAACTTGTTTTTTTCAGATTTAGCATTAAATACTGCACAGAAAAAAGATAAGTTCTGATTTAAAGCATCTCTCAATAAAGCTCTCTGTCATTGTTATAGGTTTGTAATATTTTAATGGAACAATCAACTTAACTTAAACTCAAGTTATTTTGGTTGTGTAAAAATCAATCAAAACATATTCATCATCATTGAAATTCTTGAAGTGCTAAGTTCAAGCCCGACAAAATTCCAATACTTTTTATTATTTGTAAGACATTTAAACCCAGATATTCTTAATGATTCCCTCAAACAAATCTCTTTAAAGGCAAATAGAAAAGGGAATGTTCAAAATGAAGCATCAAAATAACCCTTTTGCGAGCTGTGTATAAATTCACATAAAAAAGAAAGAATTTCAGGTGTTTGCATTATTTGCAAGTGTTTGATCAGCACTTAACACAACAAAGCGACAAGGCATACCCCACATCCATGCATCTCCAGGAGATGTTCATATAGTAGATCATCAGGCTTTAGGGTGATGCGTTTTGTATAAAGGTTGATCGTTACCAGGGTTTTGCAGCAATTGCACCGGATGATGAATTGCAAGCCCTCAGACAGTTGTAAATAATATTTTGATGGAGCTTTTAAGATCTCTCCAGCGACCAAATGAACAATTTCCACATTCGCTTCTACATCGACCAAGATAGCCCATATATCAAGGTTTCCATGGCCAAAAGAAGAGTCGCCAGCAGTATTTGGTCCTCAAACAAAAAATGGACAGACAAGACATGGGAAAAATATTGCCAATCCTAAAGTTAATTTTTTATTTTGATCAGACTCTGAAGATGGCTGTTGAGTCAGAACTTGACACAAATGTCAAAACTTGTGGAGGCGGCACCAAGCTTGTAAATTAAATAATGCCTACAGGGAGAAGATGTAATTGGGGTCCACCTGTTGAAGGTCATGCCCATAGAATTCTTACCAGTGACCCTAATTTGGGATAATTAACTGTTGGTAAAATTATCAAGACAAACAGAATCTTTTTAGGAGGCAGCCTCACCTGCAGGATAAGCTCACTTACCTTGAACGAAATTACATCTGGGTTTGTCTAAAATGCTCCCTGTAGCAACAACAAAAATATTGTGTGGTGATAAGGACAGGGAGTTGGCCTTTGATTTGGCTTGGCAAAACATATGAGAATAAAGCATCTGTCAGATAGTGTAGCAGAAGCACAATTTTTATAATTAGTTGAATCAATTCCACGTTGATCTCCTACATGTTTTATAACAAATTTAGTATCATTAAAAAGAGCAGAGTGTCATCTTATATTTTAAAGTAAAGGGACAAGTGTACATAGAGATTGATTTTGTGTTTTCAAGGCACTTGCCATAATTATTGTCAGGCTATAAATCTATTGATAATTTTCTCAAATCTTTGTCTGGGGCTTTGACATTTTGAAATCTGACCCTCCACTAACATATCACATAATGGATAATTAAGTTTTTGTAAATTTTTGATGTTCTGGTTTGGGAAAGTAAGTCTTGTTTGGAAAAAGATTTCCACCATTTTCCTGTAGACTATGCTGCCACCTATATGTAAGCTTATGGAGAAAAGATGAAACTATAAAAATACTCGCTATAGCTAATCACCCACAATGGATGTTTCAGAAGTATAAGAATGTATTGGAGTCATATCAACTTCTCCAAAAGATCTGAAGCCTCAACAGACTGCAATACTACAGTCTTTAATCACTAACCATATATCAGACAGACATATTGATGTCCTGGGAGTTTTCCCAACAGGTTTTGGCAAATCTGACATGTATCCAATATTCCCTCTTCTGCTAGACATTGTAAGAAAAATTGGCAATTTATTTTATTTTTTAGAGACATCATTTTTATTATTATATTTCAATTATTTACCTATATCAAAATGCTTCTCTAATTGTGTTTTACACAGTTTTGAATTAATATAACTTTGATTCAGTGTGCCTGATTCGACATGTATTCTAATTGCAAAAGATTAACCACACATTTATGTATCAGTTTAAGATGTAAAAGATATCGGTGCTCTTGGATATTGGAAATCTATTAATAATACAAGGGAGCAAGATTCCCTAGCAACAAAATGGCCAACAAAAATAGGCAGGGAATTTTTTAAATATCTCAAGATGCAGATTCGGACCATGATGAATGATAATGAGATTCGAAGCTGATAATGATCTTGATGAAGAAAATATCGGATTGGCAGATTATTGGACAGAATATCTACCAATTTCACCACAGCTACAAATTTTAAAGGAGAAAAAAGGGAACATACCAATCAGCAGTGACTTATCCCGAAAGGCTATTGTTGATTATTTCTTGGCAGAGGAAATGTTCAATATTATTGTTAGAGAAACTAACAGGTACGCTGCTAACTATAGTCAGATGAATGTGAATCTTCCTGAAAACAGTAGATATAAGAAGTGGTATCCTGTGACTCTTACTGAAATAAAATGCTTCATCGCCATGATTATAATAACTATGGGGATCACCATTCAAGATAATGTCAAGGACTATTGGTGCAAAGATCCCATTCTCGCCACTCCATTTTATCCACTGTTTCATCTTGTAAATAATAATGATTTTGAGGGGAATGTGGGAGGCACTGCAACCTACAAGCCAAGGGCAAAACAGGTTTCAAGAGTGCTATATTGTTCACCATGTGTCTTATTTTGTACATGCGATTACACAGACCTCAATGAGCTGAAAGAGCACACCCAGGAGGAGGCAAGCATGCCCAAAGTTAATTACCACTGAGAGAATGCATACCCTACAAGCAAAAGTGGTATGTAAAATAAAACGATCAATTCACGAATTTAGATAGTAGGCCTGGCATGAAAACTAGTGGTCGGACCAACCAAGGTTTTTAGGAGATTAGATTGCTGAGTTTCCTGTATGAAAAGGAGTATATTATATGTTACATTAAAGAACAACAAAACATTTAGCTCTTTAAAGTATCAGTGAAATGCTATTTTGCTAGCAGATATGTATCATACTGCCTAATAGATTTTGTGGCTTTTTGAATGAAAAACAGTTAAGTGTTGTTTGAAACAACTTTTCCTTATAATGGATATGATATGGTAGATGTGATATATTATTGAGAAAAAAGACAAATTTAGGGTTTACAATCATGATGAATAAATGCATTTTCTAGAAATTTCTGAGTGATGGGGATGATGTGGCTATTGGGTATACAACATTTGACACCAATACTTGTGTACCAACTACTTGGTTAGTGGAGGTAACGAAGAAATGCCAAGGTAAAGGTGGTTTCTTTCTGCTAACCAAGTTATTGGAAGGTTTGATCCATCTGTATGATCTAGCTGGTAGGACTCAGAAATCCTTTGATGGAAGCGCTGCTGTCATCATCACTGCAATCAAGAGTGATTAGAAATGTGTAGGGAAATGTTAATAAATAAGCCCAAGAATAGGGTAAGGCAGTATGGGTGATCTATAAGGTGTTCCATGATATTTTATCTGATACAAAAATCATAGAAAAACTTCTACATTTTACCACAGCATGCACATATTCATTCATAGATTTATTCATAAACTTTGATTCTCCTAAAAAAAAAATCATGAAGACTTCCAAAAATCAGCCTGTTTCCCACTTAACTAATTTGGCCTCTTACTAGAGATGAATATTTCACTATACAAGATTTTAGTACTGTTATATTTTAGGTTTAATTTATTTCATTTATATAAAAGACTACCTAATTAACAAAGAGCAGTATCGAAATGTGTCATCATTTTTTGGGAAAGCCATAGGCAACAAGTCTCGAAGTGCAGTTAATGTTATACTGAAAACCCCCTCCCTGTTCCCAGAAAACGATAGAAAGAGAACATTTGAACTAATAAAAACAATGAAAAAACACGGATTAGTATGAAAATTAAATGAAAGAGAAGTCAGGGAATGGATCAAATTAAATTGGCAGTAAATTCACAATAAACATACAGTAAAACCTGTCTATTTGAACGCCTAGATTGGAACAGCTTAAAGAGTTCATGTTAATCCAGTATTATATCATAATCACATATTATTAGATCAGATAATTTTTTTCTCGTCAGAAAATAGTATTTTAACCTTTAGCGTGCTACTGGCGAATGCGTCCGCCGAGACTAAAATGTCTCTCACAACTGCCGGCGGACCCGTACACCAATTTCAAACTTTTAAAAACTTTACTTTTTCGCGCCATTCGTATTGTTCAATTAGATTGCCCGATTTATTCAGTGCCTAACATGACTTCCTGTTGACCTAAAAATGGCAATATTTCGAAAAATAATTCTCAATTCAACAATTTAAACAGTGTTTTAGTCGTTTTAAGTGAACAAATCGTACAAAATGGCGGACAAATACAATCACAACGAAAATGTGGAGGAAATGGACTACGATTTCGAGCTCTTTAGGCTCTTGGAAGCCGATAATGGTCATCGAAAATAGAAACTAGAATATTTTCTGAATTGAAAAATTGAACATTCGATCACTGCAAATTCAGATTTGAATTCTGACCAGACGAAGGGGCTGAGCGGCGGATTTCGGAGGAGTATTCATGGTATATTTATATTCATAAGAACATTTTTTTCATGAGCCAGGCCACTGTATCTTCCCTTTGGGAAAATTTTATCCAGATTCATTCAGTAGTTATTGAGATATTAATTATTTAGTCCAGGCATATCATTTTTTGCACTCTTTGAAAAAGAAGCCAGATGCATGGGATATATTTGCTGAAATAAGGCAGCATGGTAAAGGTTAAATACTGTATTGATCTTTAATTTGCAGATTTGGCAGACTTTGTGTATTTGGGCCCATTGGTGACCATTTAATTTGGTTTTCCAAGTGTCCCCAACATCCTACTGTCTACTTTAATTCAAGATACTCATTGTCAATATGTTGTTGATGAACAATTTTTTCAATTCTATTTCTTGTTATTTATATGAATTTCTTCAAATATATTTCTTGTAAATGGTGCGGTCAAGGTACAAGGCTGGCATACTGATCAGTTTTTACATACAGACATACAGTATATAGTCAAAAAGTTTTTATTTTTGTAGACTTGTTCATGCAACTTGGATGGTATTAATTTTCTAATACAGGATAGGAATGAGGGAAATCTATAGCTTGCTCCCATTAGCGAGCACCTTGATAAGCATGCAATAATGAGTTATTTAAGATGTCTCATATTGTCAAAGATTGTTGAGGAAAAAAAGATTCATTATTTAACAATTTTTAGTTCATATGTTTTGTAACTTTCAGATAAGCCTAGACCCCCCATTATTATAATTACATATTGGAAGTATTTTTAAAATGATAGATCTTGAGTAAAGCTTGAATTTGATATGTCATTTGTATTGGTAAGAGAAGGATTGCCATCTATAAGATTGCTGCTGTATTGTGAGTCATTTTTATCAAAATTAGGTAATAGGGGACTCCATCATACCTAACATCTCATCTTACAGAGTTTAACCAATACCTGACTATATATGTAAACAGATTGATCAAGCTCATCCAAGGACTTGATAGGTCTTTCAAAATATTTAAAATATCTGATTATATCCAGTTAAACAAATAGAGCCTAATGGAGTCCGCTATGAAAAAAATGCTGAATGATTTGGAATAGGTTGTTCCTTTTTTTGTCTTCATCGGAAATTTCTTGTTTAAATCTGAGAATTGATACTTTCATGGAAACAGAGGTATTTGTTTGAAAATAAACTAAACTAAGAGGTAATATTTCATCATTCCCGACATGACTCCATAAGATGTTCTAATGGACTTGAAAACCCTGAAAAATATATTTCACCATACAGTGTTCAACGTCCCTGATTAATTTAACAAGGTCTCAAGAAATCATCAAATTAATTTTCTCTTATATGGTGACGAGACATTATCCTTAGCAGAACTAAGTAAACTTCTTATCATTGTCAGCAATTTTCTCCATGACAACAAGACATAGCAAAGAGGTCTCATCTAAGCCCTGGAGAACTCATAATATATTTATTTTGTTTTTTACACATCTACTTGGCACAAACCCCTCTGGTCCCTAGGATACCCTTCGATGCACAGTCGTCCTCAAACAGCTAAATACTATACTTAATTTTTTACATGTAAGTGATGGCCAACCTATAATGCCAATATGGCGATTGGTGGCCGAAAATGTATTGACTTCATCTCAATAAAGTTTATACTATAAAAAAAAAAAAAAAAGTGTTCAACCAAATAATACTAGACTATTTATGTTAACAGATAATTGCTTTTGCATGGTGCCTGTATCAATATCGATATGTATAGAACATTACAGTGTTAACATTAACGAGCGGACCGGCGGTCAGGGACCAGTTGATTGTCCTCCGGTCTGGCAAAAGTTGCACAGGTGCTGGACCTTTGGACCAGCTTGTTTTTATGATACCTACATACCTCTAGAATATGTGTCAGCAATTTTACTCTATTGTTTGTGGTCTTCTTGATCGATATTTACCTTGACATGAGCGTATTCAGCAGATATCTGGTTCATTTTTCAAAACTTCCTTTTTCACGGAGGAAGTAGAACATCTAATTCTCGCTAGAATCGATTCGCTAAACCGAGTATTACATACAATAACCGAACGACTAGCTTTTTTATGGGCTTTTCTTATGGGCATTCGGTAATTGTATGTAATACTCGGTTAAGCGAATCGATTTTAGCGAGAATTAATTGTTCTACTTCCTCTGTGAAAATGTGGCCAATTTTCAAAAAGTCGAGTGAAAAAGAAACAACAAAAAAGTGAAATATGACAAAGAGTACAAGAAAGATAAACCAGAAAGGTCATTTTCACCTGCCAACAGTTGAAGGGGTAGAGGCTCCTGTGGTTGTCAGTTTGAGAGTTTTTGGTTTCAAGAGCTATGTTCCATGCTTGATACTGTTAAGACTCGTACGACCCCATACCATCCCCAGTTGGATGGTATGGTGGAGCGTTCCAATCAAACCGTCGAAGCGATGTTGTCCAAAGTTGTCTCTACCGATCACCGAAATTGGGATTTACATCTACCTTTCATCGCCGCGGCATACTGCAGCGCAAGACATGAAACCACTTGTTATTCGCCTGCCTTTCTAATGTTTGGCCGGCATCCAAAGCTCATATCCGACCTAGTTTTTGTCCCGCCTCCTGAAATGTCAGAAGAAAATCATTCCTATACCCAGTATTGTGAAACACTCCGTCAAAAACTTTTGACCACGTTTGAGGCCGCTCGAACTAACATCAACATCAGTTCAGAACATCAAAAGCGCATGTATGACGTTAAATCAAGTTCCAGTTGTCAAGACAGGTCAAACCCCAAAATTTCTGAATCCATGGACGGGGCCATACAAGGTTACAGATAAACTATCTGATTCAACATTTCAAATTTTGGAAAAAACAAGCCAAAGGTCGTTCATGAAAATAGGTTGAAAAAATTTCAAGGGGAAATGTCAGAGTCAGAAGAAGAACTCAAAACTCCTGTCAGTGACAATGTAGAGCCTGCTCTAAACGAGTGTATTGTAGATAATCCTGATGAAATGCATCAAGTCGAAAATCCACCTCAGCAGGAGACTGCTGGGACTGCTCCAGCCAGACAATGAAGAAAACCCGCCTGGTTGAAAGATTACCAACTTTGAAATTGTATACTTAATCGATCTTTGTACTTTCCAGTTTGTATGCTTCAAATACAAGAAACATGGACTAAAGTGTCAACTCAGCTTTCCCACATTAGATGAACTGAACCAGCAAATTGTCATGTATCACGAGTACCTGCGCTGTGATGTAATGAATTGCAATGTCAAAGTGCCTAAACACCTGCCACAGAAATTCCTGAGGCACCAGACCAATTGTCGTGCGAGAGCGGCAGCCGATATGGTGGGTAACCTGTTCTCCCCTGATGTAAATGTCAAACCTTGGGATGACAAGAAGATACCGTCCACTTGTCCCAAGGACATGTTTGATTCAGATGCCGAAACTGTGATCTATGATCCTCTCAAAGACATGTCGTTTGACCAAATGTCAAGTGAGGTCAAAGAAATAAATAATAACAAATATGTATATGCATTAAAAGACGCTATAGCATGCAAACTGCCAAGTACTACCTCTAATATATCAAGCGAGCCAGAATCAAGTTCAGTTTCTCCTGAGCCGACTCAGAAGGCTGAGTCTGTTGTAACTAAGGATGATGCAGCAACGTCTAGAAAAACTGAAACAGACTCAACAAAAACGTCAACTACAGAAGAGAATCTGAACAAATATATCAAGACATTTGACCAAATTTTCGGGCAGGACAAGCCCATTGGTAAAAACCTAAAAACGGACACCCGCAAAGTTCTCATCACCAAAAAATCAAAAACTGTGAACTTTCCGACCAAAAAGTCAATCAAAGAATCTTCCAAA